GGGGGTGGAGGGGAGTGTCCTAGCTTGGCCGAATGCTGTAATTCCGGAGTTCTTCTCGCATTTTTTCTTGACTTTGCTGGGGGACGGTGATTTGTTTTCTTCCTAGGTGCTTCGTACCACCTGCCCCTCACTCTCGTCTGCGATCATCCATCTTCTCCAGCTTGATAGGGAGGTCTCTGTTCTCTGTGTGACGGTATTCCCTGTTTCTCGTATGTAATATTTCCCATAGTTGTATTGTAATTTTTGAACCCAACGTGAGAATAATTATGAGTTATTATTCTCAAATTGATTTAATAAAGCATTACGTTTATTAGTGCTTTTGTACATAACCCATAAATATAACATTTAGTGTTAATTGATCTTTGTAACTTTTCGCTGAAGGTTTTATGATACGGTAGAATTAATTAAGGTTTATTGTTAATCTTGTTACTGTTACAAATAGATTCAAAGTGGCTTGTTCTGGAGTTTATGGTTTTAATAACGAATATGGCTAAATAATTATCGTTATTCATTGACACAAGGTATTACTTTAATTCCTCTTCAAGAAATTCATGATTAGCTTCAGGGCTCTGTCTATTAAGACTGTAATGACAGAACTTTTATTGTTTAAATGATTGTGATTTAGAGCTTAGAAATATGTGTCTTAGTAGGTTTATGATAAACCTTAGTTTTATAGTATTTCCTGGAGTTAATTATTGAGGCATCAAGAAACGATAGGCTGGAGTTGTTTTCTTATTCAGCAGTTAACACGATATTTTGAGTGAATAGACTACTGACGATATCTACTAATTTGTTTTCGTCACCACTCGAGCAGATGGCAGGAATATCGTCAAAATATCGTTTGATAATCCTTGAGAAAAGGGTTCTTGTCTTGAACCACATTTTTAAAGTACTCAGTACTAAAAATTTCTGCAAGGATTGGGAAAGTGGGTTATCCATGGGTGCTCGATGGTGTGAAGAAACAAGCATCGAAGAAGAAATAATTCGTCTCTACTACAGTAAGTTATTAGCTTTACGCAAGAGTTAACAGAGAGGTCAGTACATTGTTAAGTGAATTATCTTTTTAAAGAATGTTGCCAATTACTTTAATGATATGGCTTACAGGTGTGTTGGTAAATAGGTCTTTGACTTGGTAACTTACCATAATGCTACTTGCGAGGGTTTAATCTGTTGCTTTTTTTGCAGAACTCGTGGGAGTTTTTGCTGTAAAATGGGTGACTTTCAGTTAAGGCTCGGAGTATTTTAGCGATCAATACTCTGAAACCTCTGCAAAGAAATAGTGCAAAGTAGAGACAGTAAATTTTAAGAAAACATTAGGTATATCTATTTTAAGTAAGCAATAAAAGTACGGTTACCAGTATGATTAGGCAGCAGTATGGTTAGACCTGAATTTGAGAGGTGTTTTATGAAAGTTAAGAACTTTGGATCTAAGTGGTCATGTTGGACAGTATTCTGTAAAATAGCTAGAAGTTTGTGGTGATCAAGAAAGAAAGCGCGATTGGTACCCAGGCGGAAGCATGAGGTGCTAAGCACGTCATGACATTCTTTAGTGTGACCTGACGTATCCATAGCCATCGTGGTGTTGCTTTATTTACCGTTTTAATTATAATTTCGCCTTTTGCTTCTAGAAATTAATGGCTTTAAGTTCTATTACGGTCAAGTTAGAATTAAACGGTTTATTTTTTAGTTATCAGGGATTTAATGGCTTAATTAAATGTCTCCTTAATTGCTTCTATTAAGGATTTTATTGTGCTGTTATTAAGTTTACGGGGATTTGAAATTCTACGCTGGATATATTTTCAAGTAAGGGCAAAGAGTTATTAATGACACTAAAATTTATGCCTTTATTTAAAACCGTTTCGTTTGGAGAGTTGGACCTTGCTTAGATTAATTACTATACATTAGTTAGATTTCATTGTTACTGCTAGTGAAGAAATTTTGAGATCGTTTACCAACGAATGTTTTAGTCTAAAGAGGCTTAGTCTGAACTCTAAAGAGACTAAAACCATTGTTAATAAACGCCCTAATAATCTGTGCGCTAGCAGTGACAATGAAACACTAATATATA